AGTAGCAAGTATCTGAAGAACTTTTTACTTAAAACTTAATGATAAGTTATATGGGGTGGGGGAGGGCACCTGGCAGAACTGTGGTGTAATTTTGCCTCAGTACTATTGTCTGAAAAGTGAGTGTCCTGGTTGGAACTCAGATCTGTAATCAAAGTTTAATAGGGGAGTTGTTCCTATTAACAGAGCTTCACCATCAACAAGTCATGGGCAACTGTGTTCTCCAGCCTCCTTCTGTGTAAGTGCCAACGAAAAGGTGATGTCCTGCAAAGGGCTGCTCTTAGGCTTTAATTGGATTCCACACAAATGTTCCAGTGGTGTCTAGGATATAGAAAACAGCACATTGAGAGTAATCATTATTTTTACTATGTAAAAGTGAAATCACTGGGAAGCACAACACGGTGTGCTGAGATGGTCAACAAAACATTGGCATCAGCTCAGCGGAGAAAGCACCAGAGCTTACAAGGTCACACAAGTAGCACAGTACGCACGGGAAGCACAGTGCCTTAGTCTATAAAGCTTACTGTGTAGTTTTTTTTTTAAAATGCAGAGCTCTGTCATTTAAAAATAATTCCCTGTAACCCATGCAGGAAAGAAGATAGAACCTGTACCTAGAGATTAAAGGGATTTCAGAGTGCCTAACATCCATAGTAATTTCATTTTGAAAACAAAACAAAATAAAAACGTGGCATACGTAAACATTGTTCTTTCATTAAAAACCATTAAAGACATTTTAAATTATGAAAAACCTCAAAGAAGACTAGAATAAAGATTAAACTATAAACATAGAATTTGAAATTTTTATAAATGAGATTGTTTTTTATCCCTCTCTTTTCCTCCTCCTCTTATCATTCTCCTCTCCTTCCTCCTCTCCCTCCTGCTCCTCCATCTCTTCCTTATCATTCTGGAATGGCTAGCCTCAAGGAAGGCTGGTAAACTGACTTTTCATCTAAATGGTAACATTAGGATAATACCAGTTGCAGGTGGTGGCTCACACCTTTAATCCCAGAACTCAGGAGGCAGAGCCAGGCAGATCTCTGTGAGTTTAAAGCCAGCCTAGCCTACAGAGCTAGTTCCAGGGCATTCAAGGTTACAAACAAACAAACAAAAAATAAAACAAAACAAAAGGAATGAACCCAGTCAAGGTCTTTCACGTAGATGAGTAGATTTTGCACCCCCAGTGGGACTACTTGATGTCTTAAAAGTCTACTACCAAGGCAAGCATAAAATGGAGAATAATCCAGGTGTCTATTTGTCTTCTATTTGTAAAGTTACAGAACAGGAGAGATAGGTAATGCAGCTGCAAATCTTGAACGATAAAGCAGCTTAACTGAAAGGCCAATAAAAGAATCAACAGGTTTGGTCTGTAATATTCAGCCTCAGCCATAGAAAGCAGCAGCTGCAGCATGGATGGGACACTTGAGATGCTCTGGCCTGGAGATCCTTGGCATAGCAGGACTAGCATAAGTAGAAGAGGGATTAGTGAAGCCAAAATTCCATGGCTACCATGAAGAAATTTTATCTTTAGTTCTAAAAAGGCTCAACACCATTGCTATTGTGATACTATGGCCTATTAATAGCTTTAATCATGATGTCCTTGAGGTGTGGTTCTGTGTTGTTCATGGATAAATAGTATTTATGACATCATTTCTGTACTGTACTCAACTGAAAAAGCTAAAGACATTTCCCACCATTCCTATAGTGACTCCAGCAATCAATTTACTTCCTATTTAGCCTCCAAGTATCCACATGGCTCTCTCTGGCTTTACTAGTGACTTATGCTGATGCCAGTGACAGACAGGAAGGATTCTGATGGATTGTCTGAGATCATGATTCCCAAAGCAGAATAAGTAAAGCATATATATACATATATTACTAAGTGAGTTTGTGCTGTTTGGCATCTCTCTCTCTCTCTCTCTCTCTCTCTCTCTCTCTCTCTCTCTCTCTCTCACACACACACACACACCCAAATAGCTTAGCATAAGTTTTTGATTTCTGCTCATATAACATCTGTTGTGTCTCTGAGTAACTTTCTCAGGAAACAGCCTCCAGTATGATGATTCAGTAATCCAAGATGCTTCAACTTTCTACCCCAGCATTCGTTGCTTAGTCCTCTGGTCTTGCTGCAGAAAAGCCCCCAGAAAGCAAAATTTCTTAGGAATACCTATTCCACTGTCTTAGGCTAGATACAATACATACCTTCTACTCATATTTCTTTGGTCAGAATTAGGTAAGTGGCTTCATAAATTGCCAAGAGACAAGGAAGATTGTGTTCCATATGCCCAGAAAGAAAGATGGGCTATTCCTGGTAGCAACAACAAAGCATAGTCTCTCAAAGTACACAAGATAATTTTAAACTCTGCAGAGATACCTGTTCACAATTTGTATTTGGTCTGGCATATATTTGAAGGATCTTAGCATGAGGCAATTGTTTTATTTTATATAAATTTGTTGGATTTTAATTGCCCACATTATAATAATAAAAATGGCAAACGAAGCACACTGATGTCTAATGTTTAGGTAATACTGGAGAAAGGAATTTGTGTAAACCAAATTTAATATGTAAAACTTTAACCAAATTGAAAGTCAGGAGTGTAACAGCAATCTGTCCTTTTAACATGATTCACAAGATGGACCAGAGTACCTACTGGGAAAGATTGTGTTAGAGGACAGTTTCTCTTCCACTAATAAAACTGGGAATTGAATGATTAATGTGTCTTTACCAATTGGAAGGACCAGACACTTCTGGTCTTCATTTCCCAACCTCTACCCTTACCTTTTCCAGATTGAGATTGTTCATACAGCAAGATTAACATCAATGGGAGACAGAATGAGACATTTGACTTGACAAGAATAACTTTATTTCTGCCATTGGTTACCTGATGTGTTCCATGGTGTCTTTCTATTGTTTAGACTGATGCCCTTACAGCGTCTCAAATCAACCATGGAATCCTCAGATAGTGCTGTTTATTCAAGAGACTAGAAATCCACAAAGACACTGTACTCACTGTTGATTTTATTTATTTATTTATTATTTATTTATTTGTTTTACTTTTTTCCCTAATCCAATGTCTTCCAAAGTAAATGGTAACTGTCCCAAGTATTATGACTTTTATGTCCTGGTTATGTCTATATTATTCTTGGTTTATATATAATTACTCAAAATAATTCCAATGTCCCAAATTGTATTGCTGACATGATAATTTGAGTGGCAAACCCACTTCTGAGGATTATTTTTAGTTTCTTTTACAATGAGAATGGCTAATTTTGTCTCAAAGACTTTCCAAAGGAGTGTCAAAAAACACATGAAGAAATCTGAGAGTTCTGGATGTTTAGTTTAACAGTCACTATTTTTATTTATTTTGCATTACCTGTATGTTTCCTATGACATGCAGAGAAAGGTAAAAGCCCATATAGAGGGTTAGAAGGAACACACAGGAAACATGATGAACATTCTGTGGTGTCCAAGGAATTGGTTACTGTGTTATATGAAGATGCTATGTAAATCTGAAGAAAAGCTTTAGCATCAATAGTGTTTTTTACCCCCATCAACTTTGTGTCTTAATGAGATAGCTGTGATGGTTAGTATTGCTTTAACCATGCAAATATAGGAGAGATTGCAATCTTAAGCAGATGTCAGTTGAATAAGGGTATTCATTTTAGTAAAGTGTACAGACCCTACCTACATTTACACTCTTCCTCCTCCCCTCCCCCCCCAATCCTGCCCTAAGATAATGCTGATAAAGTTGCTGCCTATCCTCTGGTTACTTCCATTCTGGAATAAAGTGAAAGAGACTTGTGAAGTCACACATATCACAATTAGATCTGCAGCTCATCAGCCTGGCTTTTAAAGCATACAAGTACCTCTGGTGACCACCCCATGCTAAGAGTCTACATAGTTCGTGTTGTTTCAGCGTTAAATACTGTTTAGAGTTTGTTATCTTTTGTAAACCTTGGAAATCTAATTATTTATAATCTCCAGTGACATTTACATGTTGCTAAATATACTCTGCTTGTATAAGAACATATCATCCTTTAAACATGGGTGAAGAATGCCCAGTTGTACTTTTAGCTTATGTGTAATGTAGGCTATTGGGATGACCTGAGGTAACTTTTTGCTATAATCGCATACATTTTAAGCACACAATTCTGAAGTCCTGTCCACAGCCATTGCTATGTAGGATAAAGAATCAGAAAGTCCCCATGGCTGATATCATTTGTTTACCATTTAAGTCTCAGCTGTCAGACCAAATTTCTGTTGCAGTTTATTGCTATCTTGAAATAATACAATTCATTTCCATGCCAGCAGCTCTAGAATGTTTGCTTTAGTTTTGGAAACTGATTGAAAGTACATTGAGAAGTTGACCTATTGTGTTAATCTTATTTACACAAACATGGTGTCATGAAAATAAACTCTGAGAGTACACAACGCTGAGTTCTAAGGCCTTCACATCCTGAGTTCTCTAATGTCTGTTACACAGACCCACCGGGTAGACAGTCTCCACTTTATTACGGACAGCTCACACGGAAAACTAGTACCTCGACATTTACTTTTTCTTAAATTTGAAGTGAGGTTTATTTTTCACTTTAAATAAAAATCTACAGCAAATCATTTCTTTTCATAATATAACCCATATATAAAACGATGGTGTGTGGGGGGGGTGGCATCACCACCACCACCACCACCCTAGGTTCTTGAAAAGGACACTTTCCACAAAAGAGTCTAAAGTAACATTTGTAAGATGAAACATGTACAGAAAGCTTGAATTGTGAACACGAGTCTGTGGCCAGAGTGACCAAATTAATCTGGTTACTGGATGGTGGCAGGGCATTTAAAAGTGGATTTATTTAAGGATTCCTCTTGGCGAGGGAGCTTTTAAAAGTCCTTCCCGAGGCCACGTCCGAGCCTTTTACATTCTTAAATAATCGGGGTATTATGCAGGTTCTCCTGGCCACGCCCCGCCAGGGTGAGGACCTGTCTCCCGAGCCCGGCGGGCGCGTCACAGCCGTGGAGATGCAGCGGGGCACGTGGGCTGGAGACACTTCCTAGAAACGCGCGCGGGCTCAACCCTGCCTGAACTTTCCTGTAAACAGCGCGCTGACAGGCGGCATCCCCGCTGGGTGGATCCCGCGCTCCGGGTCCAAGTGGCACTTCTTGCTTTTAATTAGCGAGAGGAGAGGCGAGGAGGAACTGGCTGCTCGGCAAGTCAGTGCAGGAGGCTGACTTCTGGGAGGCTGGGCGAAGAGCAGGGGGAGGCTGCTGCTCCGCTCCGGCTGTTTTCTCAATGAATAGCTGGCGGGGAGACTGAAGCCAGCCACAGCCTCCTCTTAACGCCGGCGGCTGGGTGACGGCGACAGCTCCAGCCGGGACCTGGCTCTCAAGACGCGCTCCTTGAACAGCCCTCTTGCTCCGCGCTTCTAAACCACTAGTCCCGAGGAGGGAAAGGCTTTGCGGATCCAAATATTGCCTGGCAAATGGCACTGGGGAATGGTGTTTTCTGATGACAACCCCTTCTGTTTGTGACAAAGCCTGTCGCCCGCAGTTGGCCCTGGAAGGAAGTCCTAAGTAAAACTCAATCCTGCCTTAAAGAGGGGCTGCAGGGGCTACGGGAGCGCCAGCACACACTATGGCACCGGCCGGACACATCCTCACATTGCTGCTGTGGGGTCACCTGCTGGAACTCTGGACCCCATGTCACACCGCGGACCCCGCCTACCCTAGGCTACGCCTGTCACATAAAGGTAGGTTACCTTTCTGTATCCTTTTGTTAGGAAAATGCCCAAATGGAAAGTCACTTAACACAGGTCCATTATCTTCCAAGACCTCAGAAGTGATCCTGCAAAACTCACCTACGATCATAAGCACCTCGAGTTAATATACCCTACCTCATCTGGAAAAAGTGTTAAACCGCGTGCCAACTTGGAGGTGTTATTTTTGCCCTAGAAACATCAGGTATTATTGTTGAGAAGTTCACTCACCTCTGTGCAGATCTGAGAAGGTGGGGCACAGTTACTAATAGCTGGAAAGGCTAAATCCACCAAATGAGCAGTAGGTATTGAAATACCACCACGTGCATTGTGGGAGGTGTATGGGACAGGCTTTAAAAATAGAGGTACACTTTGCTTTTTTGTTGGGTATTTTGTTTACGAAAGTGAGAGGAGGAAAAATTCCTGAGGAAAAAAATGATACCATCCTTGTGTAATTAAATGACTAACAACTAATACACATTTGCCTTCACACTGAGTCGGTTATTAGAATATTTTGATGTGTGGCAAAATAAAGCAGTTTATTGGAAATCATGGTAAACTGACTTATGGTGATTATATATTAATATAAACTAGCCTTTTCCTTTAAATGTGCATTAACCTTATTTTTACTGAAGGTCTATCAGAGTGTTTTATTCTGCACTTAGGTCTTATATTCATAAATAAATGATCAAAAGATGGTAAGTTTTGCATCAGGACCGGTCAAAATCAATCATGAGTCCTCTTGTCACCAAACAGACAAGGAACATAACTTGTTTTAAGAGGAAGTGATTTTGTTGACTTAAAAGGAATTTGAAATAAACTATTGGGAATGAAGTATTCATTACCACCACCAGTGAAGACAAGAACAGATGCAATAATAGGATTACATAAGAGCCATTTTTTTTTTCATCTAAGTAAGCTTCTAAATTGTCTTTCACTATGGAAAGAACAGACCTGTACATCTGAGTACAGGTAGAAGCTTAGAAGAAGAAGGTCTGAGTTTTGTACGACACAATTGGTCTTTTTGTCTTCATATTGGGCAGCAGAAGATGTAATGGTGGCTGTAGAAACTTCTCATTTTAATAGAGTATGAATATCTTAATTTTAATAATTTTCTTGTTGTATTATAGAGCCAGTACCAAAATTTTAAAAAAATGCATTAATACCACATCTGTAAAGTATTTAAAATGTAGTTAGCAAATGCCTTTTGATTTATTTATATTATGACAGGTATCCAAGTCTCTATAAGAAGCTATAACCAAATATATCAAGGGGCAAAATTGATGGGATGGAATATGGAAAAATGAGAATGCCAGAGATAATTAAGTTGATTCTCTTTCTTTTAAGTAGAGTTTGGAACTATTATGAATGAATTATTTTTCCTAATTACTTTTTCTGAGTGTGCATTGTTGGTATCTGTGAAGCCTACTGTTTTTTATGGGGATTTTATGAAAAAAATAAAACCGGGAAAATGAGTGGACTTGCAAAGCATTCTGCTGGGTGAGGTGACCCATACTCAGGCAGAAAAAAAATTATGTTTTCTCCCTGATATGTAGATCCTAGTTTATAATGTATACTGTAAACAGGGAGCAAGTGTAACTGACTATACATGTAGCATGACACTTAAGAGAGCAGACCAAGGAAGGAGGATGGAATTCAGGCAAAAGGACACATGACTCATGGAAGAAGATTTAGCTAGTTCTTTTCCTTCTAGTTTCAACTCTACTATATTTTCTTTTCTTCTTTGTGGTGAAAACTAAATAAAAATGTAGAGAAAAAAGAAGACAAGTAGATAAGCTGTCAGTTTTGACATGTTGCTATTCTGTTATGCCTTCTATTTATCTCTACACCTCAGGACTACTTGGCTTTTGATAGCTCCCTATCAGTATGTTTTTCAAACTGTCTCATTTGATTTTGAACCGGAAAGCTTACAATTTGGTGAGTGTACCAAAATTACATGGTGTAGTAGATCCCATTTTTTTTTTTTTATCAAGCTCGTCATCAAGATGTCTTTCTTAATCAGAGAAATGACTGTAAATGATTTCATGAGCTGTGTCATATGTTGTCAAGAGGTTATGCAAGTATTTGTGTGTACTAGACTGAAAACTGTCACAGGATTTCTCTGGTTTTTCTTCACCTTTATTGGGACTGACTAAAAGACACTTTTATGGTGATGATTTTAAACAAAGATAATGCAGAGATATCTGCAAGCAAAATGTTCTTAATTTGTGTGATTCAGTTAGAAAAGCCAGCTCTGAGATCACATTAGAGAGGCTACCTGAAGCCCCAAATGCTTGTTATGCCACAGGTGCCTTCAGTGACAAGGAAAGCAAAGGATGTCAGAGAAGGGACATCCAGTTCAGCCAGCATAAAATGAACCCTTTACTTCTCCACACTCTGGAATTCAGTAGATGTTTTAAAAGTCAAACATCAGGAATAGCGCACTGCAGGTTAATTGAAGTATTGAGTGGTGATAGTAATGTTGGTTTTTCAGGAGCAAGAGGATTTTAAGCAATTAAAATTACCAACGGATGTTCAGTCTTTCAACATAAGATATATGGGTGTATATGACACAGCATCTCTGTGTTGCTGATTGACCCTGCAGGGCAACACTGTCAGCTCCCTAGAGGTGGCCTGCAGTGTTCATCCATCATTCTCCTAGCAATGAGTGGTCTGAGCCACGTGGGAGAGAGGAGGGCAGTCATTTTTCTTATGCCCCCCCCCCCACTTCCAAGATTGGGGGAAAATTCTTTTCTGAAGAGAATGTTTAACTGTCATACACAAAGCTTGAGTTAATTTATATAAAAGAGTGGCAGAAAAATATCTAGAGGTCCACCAGTCCCTTTATTTCCCTTCCCTTCTAAGTAGACCTTTCCAGAAGAAGGGAACTCCAGAAGAAGGCAACTAAGTAGAAAGGAAGTATGACAAAGAGCACCTCCTAGCTTGTTTCCAAACATTCTTCACCTGGGATGGCAAGGGGCTCATTCCTTCAATCTTCTTACTATCTCATTACATCTTATTTTCCAGAAAATGTGTCCATTTGGGGCAAGTAGAGCACATGAAATGACAAGGCAATTCCTAGGCAGAAAGCACATGTGTCTTCTGATGCTTTTATAAGAACAAATAAGTTTAGTTAACAAATGAAATGCTGGGAGGTGATATGCACACCCTTAATCCCAGAATTTGGGAGGCCTAAGCAGGCAGCTCTCTGAGCTTGAGACCAGCCAAGTCAACAGAGGGAGTTCCAGGTCACAAAAAAAAAAAAAAAAAAAAAAAAAAAAAGAAAGAAAAAAGAAAGAAAGAAAGAAAATTTGGTGGTGGCAAGATACTATGCCATCCTGAAAGAATTTTCAGTTAAGATCTGAGAGATGAGTTGAGGTTACAATTTTAAATTTGAAGCGTATTCATGCATCATGTGCATTTAGTTATTTGCTCCAGCTAATGAGAATTGTATTGATGAGATTAAGAGATTAATAAAGAATGAACTTTCATTCAAGGAATTTTCTTTAAAAAACAAAATCCAAATAACTGTTTGTGATCCCCAAGAAAGAGCAAATGGAAAGAATGAGGAGGAGTCCTGAAGAACTAAGTTGTTCCATGTTGGTGTCTGTTCTGTCCTTATCTGTCACCATCCTTCATTAATGAGGTTACCGGGAAGACAAAAATAACCTTCTTGATAATAGAGTTGAGAGAAGGAAAAAACAAAAAACAAATTAGCAAAGAAGCAATCACAGCAACTGTGGAAAGGCCCCGTCAACTGAGAATCCAATCAGGGACAGTCAATCAGGTAGTATGGAAGATAGGAGTTCAAAGTCCCCATGAGAGATGATAGTCACAGAAGACACAGAGAGTGGTGCTTCAGCAAAACAGTGTTCTCTTGGGATGTTTGGGGAAGAGGCAGTTAAGTCACGATATGTAGACATTATCAATGGAGATTTAAGCTTTGAAGAGATACTCACACATACAAACCTTGCCCTGGAAAGTGCTAAGCAGTATTTAGGCATTCTAACTATTTACACACAAACCTGTCATAGTTCAGGGAGCTCAGGATTTGACATCAGCAGCCTCAATCCCATGCCATATTCTTGCTTATAATGGCAGCTTGTGCATCAGCGTGGAAGAAACTGATTGCTGCGTTGCCCTTCTCATATATTTCACTGAGGGTTAGAGAGGAGCTACTGTTATTACAATGCTTGTGAATGCATTTTATAATCTAAAACTGTGTATATTATGAACATTTCTTAAAAACTACCATGTTGATTATTTTTTAAGGCAGCATGTTCTAAGGGAAACAACCCTTGGGAATGGTAGAATTTTAGATATTGACAAGTGTTAAAGCAGTGCTGCTGTACAAGGAAGAATTTGGTCTAAAGTAATATAAAAATATTATGGTTGATTTTTGTAAACCGTTCATTCTAAAGGCCATCTTCTATACCTTAGGCTCTTAGTTATACCAGCTTAGAAGATCATTCGTCCATTTTCATTGTCAATTTTTCATGGCCAATATTTGTTCTGATTACTACAATATTTTACATCTCACGTCTTAATTTTTTTATATTTATAAAACCAGGACTTTGCATGACTGTCCTGGAGACTGATGTCTATTTTCTATCCTGGGGAAATAAAAAACAGTAAATAAATTAAAACAAAGCGATAATTTTAAGCTGCTATTTCCTGACCCAGCTCAAAGTTACCTAGCCAGTAACTACGCATTATCAGTACTGATATTAGTCACACATCTCTGGGTGTTAATAAATAAAAACTGGTCATAAGGTATGATTCATAACCTCAGTAGTTAAATAGAACTCAGGAGTAAACATTAACCTACATGCCAGACTCTACCAGGGAGTGTTGATGAGAATGAAATGATGACTTTACTAACAGTTTATATTAAGAAATAGACATGGAACAAAATGTGAAGAATTGTATGTTTTGTTGAGTTGGGCTTACACAAAAATGCTTCATGTAGAAAAGTCTATGTAAGAGTGTTCCTT